TTGATCTAAATTGATAAAATTAATGGAAATTAGCAGAAAACTGATGATTGTTGAGGAGAATTTAAACATTTTAGAATTTGAAATATTTTTTCATTAACATAGGATATTCTGATCATTAACAAAGCATGGATAATGGATATTTTTTTCTCAGTAGATTAGTTCACGCCTTCAAAAAATTTGTTAGAAACAAAATTTTCTTTTTACATTTTGCTTAATCTCATGCTAGGTGTCTTTAGAATATATGGAATTGGGTCTTTGTCCCAAACTCTTATTTTTTATTCGTGTATCTTTGCAACCTGAGATATTTTAAACATTTACATTTTGTTAGATTAGATAATCTTAGTTTGAAAAACACCTGTAAAGGATACAAAATAGTTAAAAAATTTAAAAACTGGTTCTAAACCAGTCAAAACAATAAAAAGGTCCAAATTAACGTAATCATTCTAGAAAGTCTTAATATTTTCTCTTTTACTCTAAGGAGTCAATTGTAAACTTAGATGCATTAATTTCTGCCATTTATTGTGTTTACATAAATAATTTTGCATAATATAAAATAAATAAAATTAAAAGAAAGAAAACTTTTTCATTTTCTCTTTTGATATGTCAGAAAACTATTGAAAATTGGAACTTTTTATTGTTTTCTTATAATTTTTTGATACTATTTCAGATAAGTAAACAGGTGCATTTATTTATGCAATATATTGTGTGTACACATATAAATTTTTATAATTTATGAAGAAAAAAATGGAAAGAGGAAAAATATTTTCTTTTTTCTTTTATATTTCAAAAAACTATTGAATCGGAACTTTTTATTGTTCTTTTATAATTATTTGATAATATTTTAGATATAAGGCTAGGAGAAGATGTCGGAGAATTATTTATTAATGTGCGTGTAGGGAGGGAGTTCATATAAAGAAGATGAAACTTAAAGAAACTTGAAACAAACTTTTAATCTAAGCTGAGAGCTCAGTGATTCTTTAGCATTGCTCAGAGATACATAATGCAACAGTTCAGTGATTCTTAACTTTTGTTCAGATATACATACTGCAGCAGTTCAGTGATGCTTCAGCATTGCTCAGAGATACATACTGCACCAGTTCAGTGATTATTTACTATTGTTCAGAGATACATACTGCAGCAGTTCAGTGATTCTTCAGCGTTGCTCAGAGATATATACTGCAGCAGTTCAGTGATTCTTCACTATTGTTCAGAGATATATACTACAGCAGTTCAGTGATTCAATACCATTTTTCAGATATACATACTGCAACAGTTCAGTGATTCTTTATCATTATTCAGAGATACATGCTGTAGCAGTTCAGTGATTTTATCCATTGTTCAGAGATAAATACTGCAGCTGTTCAGTGATTCTTTACCATTGTTCAGAGACACAAACTACAGCAGTTCAGTGATTCAATACCATTGTTCAGATATACATACCAGAACAGTTCAGTGATTCTTCACTATTGTTGATAGATACAAACTACAGAAGTTCAGTGATTTTCGCAATTGTTCAGAGATAAATGCTACAGCAGTTCCGTGATTCTTCACCATTGTTCAGAGAACATATTGCAGCAGTTCAGTGATTATTTACTATTGTTCAGAGATAAATGCTACAGCAGTTCCGTGATTCTTCACCATTGTTCAGAAATACATACTGCAGTAGTTCTGTGATTATTTACTCTTGTTCAGAGAACATACTGCAGCAGTTCAGTGATTCTTCAGCGTTGCTCAGAGATAAGTACTGCAGCAGTTCAGTGATTCTTCACCATAGTTCAGAGATACAAACTACAGAAGTTCAGTGATTTTTCACCATTGTTCAGGGATAAAGACAGCAGCAATATCAAAACATTTTTTTTATGATAACTCTTTGTGGAATGCAATCACCATTTCTTATGAGCCAAGAAAAAACTGAGAACTGACAATAAAGAGATATGTTTCAAATGTGACTGGGATATTCCAAGAATACAACTCCGATACTGAACAACAAGAAAAACAATGTTCCATAAGTGCCAAAGATAAATACAACTATGTTCATTCTATGACAAGAATAACCCTATAAAGACAACTATGTGCCTTTAGTCCAAGGTAAATTCAAGGCATAAAAACTAATTTGAACTTGAGATCCTCAGGCTAGGAGTGCCTTACTTGTAAACTACTGACTGATTATGACCTTAAACCAGTTTTAATATGTCAGAGCTAAATATATATGGAAATCCTATATCCTCCCACACCTTATATCTTTTAAACAAATTGATTATTACTGTACAGGTAGTATTACAGAGACCTGACCGGCCAGGCCAGGACAAACCTGACCCTGGTAAACTTCACCTTCAAACTATTCATGTAATACAGCTGGTAGCTCTCATCAGTATTCTTCTAGCTCTGTAAGTAAACTAGGATCCCAGGGGGGGGGGGGGTAGATGGACAAAAAAATTGTATTTCTCTCTGAGCGGAAATCTTTTGTATTGGATACCCTTAATCCAAATTGCTAAATCTCAGTATGGACACTTTTTATTTTCCTCTCCTATGGATATCCCTCCTGGGTTCTGATCAATGAAAGTTGACAAAATTTCAAAATTTCTCGGCTACTGATGGACTGTTCGGTTTTTGTAACACTCTGATTGGTAGCATTTAAGAATGTGAGCTGATTAAATCATTCAGCAGATGAATAAAAAAGAGGAGATCAAGCATTGATCTTGATATCCATAATTCTAAAGTTCAACTCAAGCTCAACTTTCAAAATTTTTTATCTAAATTTAAAACCTCAGTTTCTATTTAAGCATAGTCCATTTGAACACTATTCTGATTGAATGTTTTTCCATTCAATACTACAAACTAAATGATTGGAACAGTTGGTGAAATATTTAAAATATATCAAACTTTTAATAATTCTCAGAAATTTATTTATGAGATTAATTGAACTTTGTTTCCTAACATAATTATTTACAAAAAGCATAATATTTTAAGGAAGTACATATGAAGCTCTTAAACATCAAACCAGCCAAGGGCAAACCTACATCATTTTCATTTTTGGAACACCAATTGATTGTATAAATATCTAATTCAAAACTCACATCCTATCGACAGTTTTTAAAAAGCAAGGCGTTTTTCTTTTTCTAGCGTTTGGTTTTATAGATATTAGACTTAACCAAAACAATTCTTGTTTCAGGGTTGTTTTGCTGGTTTCAATACGTAAAGAATTAACAAGACTCCATGTTCATCTTCGTAGAATTGTCAACAACCTTCCTGCAACACTATCATTGATCCATTCACGGTCTACCCCGCCACAACCTCAAAGTAATGAAAGTGCCGATTTTGCCGCATGGTTGGAACAAAACCAGTTTCCAAAAGAAAATGGCCGCCAGAGCGTGGGTGCACCTGGCCCAGGACTCGCGGTCAAAAACCGTTTAGAAAGCCGTGACTGGTCTGCAAATGGACCAAAACATTATATGAGCAGAAGCATGAGTAGTTGTATACCACGCCTTAGTGAGATAGAAGTGGTAGAGGAGACATTTCTTCTCACTGATATGAAATAATATCTTTAAAACCATCCCTGTTAAAATATCGTCCCATGGGTACTCTAAAAGTGACAGTGCAAGCCATCTATCTTTGTATTTGACAAGATTGCTTTTATAATATCCATTATGCATTTTAAGTATACTTTCATTTTATAATCATGATAAAAATTTAAAAGATTCGCAAAACTGGGACGTTTCAAAAGAAGATGTTTATATTAGCATGCATAAACTAAACTATACCACAGTTCTTATGTTCATCCTAATAAATATGTACCCTCTTTTATTTTCCTAACACAAGAGCTCTGTTTTATATTCCTAACACAGACTGAGCGTTTGTCCTGTTATTTAGTGTAATTGTATATTTTGATTGCAACGTAATATAATCAAAAACCTGATCCAAGTTCCATTGAGAAAAGTATGGTTGGGGAGGGGGGGGGGAAAGTATGAAGGTTTCTTCAAATATATCAATAAATCTATTATCAGGGAAAAGGCCAGCATAAAGTAACTTATGACTTGCCACAAGCTCTAAATTTCTTATCTTCATATTCTGAAACCTGATGATTGTGTAAACCAGGCTTTGAAATGTCAAATTTTTAATGTTTGCATGCAGAATTCATAGTTTTAACATTAGGAAAATTAGAGTTTGTTGCAAGTTATCAATTTTCAAAATGTAAATTGTTTGTATTTTGCATGTTAATGTATTTTTATTTTGAAGAAAGAAACACCTGTAACCTTTAGTGTATATATATATCAGACCTGATGGCTAACATAGGATAATCTGCATATTTAACACTATTGTAAAAAAGTCAATTGTATTTTTGATGTTTAAATGTAAATTAAATGTAAATTAATAAATAAATGGAATAAAAAACATGCGATTAATTGCAAGTATTTCTGTAGTTTGTATTTTCGCAGTTTGCATTTCTGCAGTTTGTATTTCCGGAGTCTGAATTTCTGCAGTTTGTATTTTCGCAGTTTGTATTTCAGAAGTTTGCATTTCCGCAATTTGTATTTCCGCAGTTTGTATTTCATTAGTTTGTATTTCAGTTTTTTTCGCAGTTTGTATTCAAGAAGTTGGAATTTTCGGAGTTTGATTTTTCAGTTTGTATTTCAAAAGTTGAAAGTATTTCTGCAGTTTGTATTTCAGATGTTAGTATTTCCTCAGTTTGCATTGCAGAAGTTTGAATTACCGCAGTATGTAGGTAAAAAGTTTGTATTTCCGCAGTTAGTACGAGGTAAAATCAAAAAGTTTCGACTCAAAGAAGTTCGTAGTAAGATTTCGATTCTACTGGAGACCACCGGAGGGATTTTATTTTCACTGGAGGGTCGGAGTTATTTGGAAATCTTAATTTGATTTAACATGTTTCTTAAGGAAATAAAGCCAACTTTTTTTATTGAGAATTTCCTGTTCAGTTTGGATTGTGATAAATTGTTCGGTAAATAATACTCTTCTCCATAGAAAGCCTTTTAAAAACGAAATATTTTTGTTTACAAATTAGGTCGATTATGTTATGCAAGTTTTTTTTTACTGCTAATAGAAAAAAAACGATAAATGATTCAATAATAATAGTCTTCTTGAGTCTTCTTTTTAAAAAATAACTGAATTTATTTATTTTTAGTCCCTTTCTGTCTCTCAACTGCCCTTTGACCTTCGAATTTAACCTCAAGATATACTATTCGTTTTTAACCCCATATGAAGGCTGTTTCTATTTGCGTGTTTTTGTTTTACAGTTTTCATTTAGAGAATTCCTGTCTTACATTACACGGACTTACCCTTTGCAGAGTTAACATGGCGGGGGGCTAAGGTATGCAAAAGCAACAAGAACATTTTTTTAGAAAAGAAGGAAATTAGTATTAATAAATGTTTTTCATTTTTATTTTTTTGAAACATGCCTTTAAATTTTCATCTTGTTCGCGGATTTTCAATTGCATTAAACTATCTGTTTTGGCATTTGCATGTTTCTATTCAAGAGTTATCCTGTTACACAATTGATTTTATAATACAAAATATTCTTTCCAAGAAACAAATGTTCGTAATTTGGAAATGCTTTTATTCTATTTATTTCTAAGATTTGTTTTTATTTAATTAAATCCCTAAAGGGACTGTAAGCGTACCCTTATAAATGTGTTGCCTGAAACAGTTTGTATTTTAGAAGTTTGTATTTCAGAAGTTTGTATTTCAGAAGTTTGTATTTCCGCAGTTTGTATTTTAGAAGTTTGTATTTCAGAAGTTTGTATTTTAGAAGTTTGTATTTCCGCAGTTTGTATTTCAGAAGTTTTTAATTCAGTGGTTTGTCTTTGTATTTTTTTATTGTATTCTTTAAGGAACTGCAGTTAGCATGCATGCAATAAGGACCATGCCAGATTCCCAGATTCACAACGCGGATCATTTAAACACAGTTCAAGGATGACAGAGAGTTCCGAATTTATTTAGATGAAAAATTGAGTGAAAAACAATTATTATCCATGAAGGGTACCGTTGTTAATCTAGTATGACCTTACAATGCATGAATGGTTACTTGAAATTACGCTTACAGTCTCTTTAACCTTATTTCTATGTCCTTTATTATAATCAGTATAAATGATGAAAAGGATAAATGCAAATATAGATTCTGTGTTAAAATCAGGTTCATCACGTCAAACTAAAGTTAATTCCATTTAAGACTTATAAGATTTTTTCAATTATAGCTCCTCTTATTGAAGAGCTAATGAGAAGAAAAATATATTTTGAATTTCTGAAATGTAACTGGGTAAATTTGCATTTATCATACTTGTGCGTTAAATCAAAAACAAGAGGAGCCACGAGGTGAAAATGTCGTACCAGATATTTGACCTTCTCCTTCTGTCTAGTTGAGCGTGTTGTGATTAATTTGAGAAAAATTGGTCAAATATGTCTCATGTTCACGGTTCTCTGAAATATAATTATTTATCCTGTGTTCTCAAATATACATTGGTGGTCACTTTTTCTCAAAACATCATTTGCCTAAGGGGGGGGGGCGGAGTTATTTGGAAATCTTAATTTGATTTAACATGTTTCTTAAGGAAATAAAGCAAACCTATTTTTTTTTGGAGAATTTCCTGTACAGTTTGGATTGTGAAAGAAAGCCTTTCAAAAACGAAATATTTTTGTTTACAAATTAGGTCGATCATGTTATGCAAGTTTTTTTTTACTGCTAATCGAAAAAAAACGATAAATGATTCAATAATAATAGTCTTCTTGAGTCTTCTTTTTAAAAAATAACAAAATTTATTTATTTTTAGTCCCTTTCTGTCTCTCAACTGCCCTTTGACCTTCGAATTTAACCTCAAGATATACTATTCGTTTTTAACCCCATATGAAGGCTGTTTCTATTTGCGTGTTTTTGTTTTACAGTTTTCATTTAGAGAATTCCTGTCTTACATTACACGGACTTACCCTTTGCAGAGTTAACATGGCGGGGGGCTAAGGTATGCAAAAGCAACAAGAACATTTTTTTAGAAAAGAAGGAAATTAGTATTAATAAATGTTTTTCATTTTTATTTTTTTGAAACATGCCTTTAAATATTGTCTTGTTCGCGGATTTTCAATTGCATTAAACTATCTGTTTTGGCATTTGCATGTTTCTATTCAAGAGTTATCCTGTTACACAATTGATTTTATAATACAAAATATTCTTTCCAAGAAACAAATGTTCGTAATTTGGAAATGCTTTTATTCTATTTATTTCTAAGATTTGTTTTTATTTAATTAAATCCCTAAAGGGACTGTAAGCGTACCCTTAAAAGTGTTGCCTGAACCAAGAAATAATTAGATATTAATGTTTATAACTCTGAAAACTGACTGTGGTTTCTCTACAAAAGTGACTTGTGCATTACTGCTGAAATGATTTATCACTTTTAAACATTAAAAAAATATCTTCCACATTATTGATAAGATAAAGGTTACAAGGGTATTGTTGTGAATCGGAAATTACCATCCTTTCATGGAGGATAACTTGAACGTACCTAGGCTTACAGTCCCTTTAAACAATTAAAATTTGTTCGCGCACATTAAATACATTCAACTCAATATTCAACACTTTAGATTAATAATTTTCTTACAAGTAAAGAAAAAATAAAAATGTTTTAAAAGTTTTAAATATATTTCATTCAGAAATAGAAATGTTTTTTTTTTCAATGCTTCACTTAGAATATACTTTTGCATTAATTATTCACATTGAGAGAGGAAAACATAAAGTTGAAAACAAATTTTCCTTTTATTTTATAGAAACAGTTCATATCTTTGAACTTTGTTTATTAACCTTCAGTTTTTTTTGACGTGATTCTTAAATCATGAAAAAATACCAGTTTCATTTTAATTACATGCTTTTCTGACCATACCTTTTTCACCTGAATCTCTCTAGAAGGGACTGATTCATTTGGTGTACCGTCCCGTTTCGCCTTATGTAATCTGTATGAGTACTGTACAGCTTGCTCGAGCTACTTAAAAGTCGGCCTGGTTCTTGAAATGAACGGGAGTTGGAACTGAATAATCGAATTTATAATGATTTTAAATTGTAAGTATTTATTTCTATCTATTTTTCTTCAGGCAAAATAGCATTTTATTTCGCTTAGAAAATAAAATTTTATTTTATTTCTTGTCCAACACATTTATGTATGTATACACAATAAATAAATTCAGGAATTTTTCCATGTTTTTATTTTCAATCCATTTCGAATAGATTTCGGGTTTAGTGCTAAAAAAATTAATGGGGAAAGGGAAGGGGGGTTGTGGAGTTAAAATAATTAATGATTTGACTAAAGTTGTGATATATTTGAGAGAATGGTTAAAAATATCACAAGTTTATAATTCGAACAGTTTATTAGATAATAAATTCATTTCCTTCCTTTGTGGGACCATTAGAGGCTCAGTATGAGACCAGTGTAATGTTCCTTTGTCATTTGTAAATTTACAACCTATTTGTAAATTGTCATATATAAATAAATTGTAATTTGAATATAATTCATTGGCAATGTATAAAGACTTTTATACAATCCATGTACATTAAACCTGACAGCCTACATTGTCACATGGACTTGGCCACCCTATATATTTAGCATAATATGCGCTGGGTCAATTACACAATAGGTTCACTAGATTAGTAGAAGTACAAGTAAATTTGTATAAGGAAGAATTACACTAGACCTGTAAATCTTTGTACTGGTTTGTATTGTGCAATGATTAGATTCATTGTGCAATGACTACCATCAGTATTTTTAGAAAACCTGACTGACATCAGTATTTCTGGAAATACCAGAATCAGTACTTCAAGGAATACCAGACTGCCATCAGTATTTCTGGAAATACCAGACTGCCATCAGTACTTCAAGGAATACCCAACTACCATTAGTTTTTTAAGAAATACAACATTGCCATCAGTATTTCAAGAAATACCAGACTACCATTAGTATTTTCAAAATACCAGACTACATTACTAATCTGTCAGCTTACAGGGATGTATAGTTTAAAAAGGACCACGCACTGTCCACTTTAGTTCATTTCATACACCGCGGGGCCGAATTTCAACTAGCCAGGGCAACTATACAGTACAAATATAGACTTTAGTACGCTAAATAAATGACCCCGTTCTAGCGCAATTTATGTGGG